CCCCAAAACCCCAAAACCCCAAAACCCCTAAAAGCTTACTAAATATTGAAATTAAAAATGTCATTGAACTCTGAGCCACCCAGACCAGGCTCAGTTTGAAAAGTCCAGCCTCCTTTGGAAGCTGGCTCAAACTTTGAGCTTGAGATGCTGAAGAAGGATCTTGCTTTTCAAAAAGACTGTTTTGAAAAGAAACTTCAACGGAAAGAAGAGAAGATTATTGAGCTGCAACAAGAAATTGAATGTCAGAAATAAGATCAGAGCAAGGATCAAGACAGAATTAGCAATGAAGATTAACACTGCTGATCAATTCAAAGAAGAGAAACTCAAAGTTTCTCAGACTTTGAAGGAAGCAGAGAATAAGAATGAAAATCTTAAGTTGATGCTGGCCAGCACCAAGCTGGTCATGGACAAACTTTTGGTATTATTTTCAGACCTAAAAATGTATATGAAAGAGTTGAAGGACGATGAGCAGGAGGTCTTAGAGTGAGTCAAGGAGCGATACCAGAAGAAATCTATTGAGCAGAACTTCATCCTTATCAGCTCCAACTGAGAAGGAGATGCTTCAGGAGAGACAAAATCTCTGAAATCAGCTCCTGCTGATATTTCTGTGCAAAGCAAAGAAGTCATCGAAGGCTCTGATTTAATAATCTCAAAGGACTTTGCTAATCCTGATTCGCTCTTCTATGATTTTCTTGAGGGTAACCAAATGAAGCATCTTGATTCTCTTGATGAAGTAATCAAAGATATCAATGTTAGTACAGAAATTGTCCAGAAAGAAGTCGAAAAAATATCAAAGCTTGATCAAAAGAAGCTGGTGGAGGCTCCTCCTGCAGTTAATTTTGATGATATTCTATTCAAAAATAGCTCAAACTTGCAGGAGAAGGAAAGAGCATACCAGAACAATATGTGTAAACTAATCTCTCAGGAGATAGCCAAGGTCAGCAAGACCATGTCTATTCTGAAACAACTTATCCTTGAAGGGAAGTTCACTGAGCTTAAGCAGATGCTTCTTGATCATGAAGATAAGAAAGGTAGACGTTCAGAAGCATTTACTCCCAATTGAGAATGTAAGAGAATCTTTTGTATATCCTTTATGATAACAATTTGCACTACAATACTCCTTATAGGCATCACTGAGAAAGAGAATATAGGGACTTATACACATGTAAAGGATGAGAAGAAGTACAGACTTTTGAGCCATTCTAGATTGTCCCTCAATAGTATGAAAGAGCAATCTATCTAAAAATTAAGCACAAGTTTTACTCCTTACTGATATTCAATCCTATTATCTTGAATAGGGGTTTTGGGGTTTTGGGGTTTTGGGGTTTTGGGGTTTTGGGG